GAGATTATTAGCTGTTTCAACAATAAGGAGAGGGAGAGCTCTTTCCTGTCGGACTTTGAGAGAGAGAGAGAGAGTGTTACGGGGGTTGTTGTTAGCATTTGGTGCTAGCTCGGAGCTAACGGAGATTAGCTGTTTCAACAATAAGGAGAGGGAGAGTCCTCTCCTGTGGGACTGAGAGAGGTAACGTCAGCTCAGGGAGGTAAAGGACTCTGAGTGATTAGATTGTAAACTGTAGTCTAAGTTATCTCAGTGGGTTTCGTCATCTATGTAAACAAATATTTCCATCTATGTAATATTAGTTGTATAAAATAGGTTAAGAAATCTTTCCAATGTTTTTTGATTATTGAAATATATGTTTCATATGAGTGTTGAGAGCTGTATCCATAAATCTCTTAATGTTGCCCTCAAAGTGCACCAGATTGATGCATTCAACTTCAATTTAAAGAAAGAAATGTGTGGTGTGAGGTCATCACAAATAAAACAGGTTCACATGGATAGGATACTAGATAAGTGTGCACACTCTTTATGTACACTACATATTTTTCTTGGATTTGTTAACACTATAGTCCCTAATATATTTGTAGAAACGTTAGGCTCAGACGGCAAAATTAATAATTCATTCATTCATTAATTATGAAAAATTATTTTAGCCATGAACAGGCACAATGATATGTAAGGAATTAAACTGCCATTTCATTTACGCGCAAAAACATGCACTTCACAGGGTCTTTAAGTAGATTTTTCAGGTATCTGTACTTCACTGAAGTATTTATTTTTCTGAGGAGTTTTTACTTTTACTCCCTACATTTTAACACAAATATCTTTACTTTCTACTTCTTACATTTTCAAAACAGGCTCGTTAATGCATGTGAGGTGAATGATCAATTATTTGTATTTTGCATCATTGCGAGCCTTCCCTGACATCAAGACTGATTTAAAGCGTGTTATGAAACCTTTTGGAAAAAATGTTTTTATAAAAAATCTCTCCGCACCGAATATTCGCTGCTGATTACTACCGAATATCCGGAGCCCGAAAAATGGTTTTCGGGACAGCCCTAGATGCTATCATATCAATATGGATCAAAATCTCTGAGGAATGTTTCCAACACCTTGTTGAGTCTATGCCATGAAGAATTAAGGCCGTTTTGAAGGCAAAAGGGGTCCAACTCTGTACTAGCAAGGTAATAAAGTGGCCGGTGAGTGTACATAACATGCAGTGTAATAATAGTGCTTATACTCAGCTATATCTTCTTGAGCTCTTTGTGACACCAGAGAACATGTAAATACACATCAGATATATTACATTACAATTAATTTAGCTCACACTTTTATCCAAAGCGACATACAATAAGTGCATCAAACATGAAGATGCAAACTAAGATAAACAACAATCCTGCAGGTACATCAGCTTTCAATACGGCAAATCATTTTAGGAACTTAATTTGAAAAATTTGACCTTTTTTGTTTGTTCTTTAGATTGTGTCAGTCCTAGGCAGTCGAGACAGGTTGGTTATAAGTCAGCGAAATATATATATCTAGACTTTCTGCTATCATGACATCTGTGGCGAAGCAATAAAGAGCTGAATAAACTTCTGTCAAAATAATTTGATTTCCCATTGTGATGACACAGGACGAAAATCAACATATCAGTTTATATGATTTTGTTTCAGAAAAGTAAGGAAGTAAACCGGATTGAACGCACACGTAAAGTATCCAAACTGAAAGCCTTCATTATACAATTATTTTGTATTGTAATTATTGGTGCAATGTTAGCAGGTGAACTTATGTAAGCTGACTGTTGCAGCACAGTTAAAAGTTGGAGTCATGAATTCAGTCGCCTTACTGGTAGGTTTCGAGGGTGTGTGTCTGTCAGAGATGGATCACATTCTCTTGGTATTTATGAGCAGCAGTAAAAACAGAACAGAACCGTTTTATGATGTGTCTGTTAAAACAAACCTGCAGCTTTGCACAGGTAGATCATCATTAATCAAATAAATCCTGAAGAGCTCTTAAGATGTGAAAATGTAGTGCAGTAAGAAATGTAATATGTACTAAAGCAGAAGTATTACAAAAATGGTGTGGAGATATTAGAAAGCACAAGCACATTCAAATCTTACATAAGTGCATACATAAGAGGGTTGGGGGGGGGAGGAGGGTGTGGAGCATCGACCCCTCCCATCACCTGCAGCTCTGCCCATTTGAGCATCTTTAAAAGGAGCATCCTCCTGCATGTGTCCTCACTCCTCTGACACACACCTCCATCATCATGGCCCTGATGTACTCGAACCGCAACTCCATTGGCAGCGGCAGCATGAGCGGTGGCGGCGGCTACGGTGGCATCGGCATGGGGCGAGCATCCACGGGAGGCATGAGCTCCTTCAGCGTGGCGGGAGGAGCAGGAGGTGGGGGAACACGGGTCTCCCGGTCTAGCATGAGCTACTCTGCAGGTGGTGGCGGTGGCGGCTTCGGCTACGGTAGTGGAGCTGGTGGAGGCGGTGGAGCTTTCTCTTTTGGTAGCGGTGGTGGTGGTGGAGGCAGTGGAGCCTTTGCTTTTGGAGGTGGAGGTGGTGGCGGCGGCGGTGGAGATGCCAGCTTCATCGGCAATGAGAAGGCCACCATGAACAACCTCAATGACCGCCTGGCCACTTACCTGGCCAAGGTGGCGGCGCTGGAGAAGGCCAACGGAGAGCTGGAGCTGAAGATCAGACAGTTTGTGGAGAGCAAGGTCGGCCCCAGCACCCGAGACTACAGTCCCTTCTACGTCACCATCGCAGAGCTGCAGGGCAAGGTGAGAAAGAGGGGCAGCATGGAAAATTGAGTCCAGTGTGGGGTCTGTGGTTTAAAATCTGGATTTGTTGTCTTAAATTAGCTGAGTTAACAAACATTTTATTCCTAATAGTAGGACAATGATGTTGGAGAAAATATATATTTTTCAAGATGAAAATAAGAAAATTAACTCGTAATCTTAATTATGGCAGCCTTTAATTTCCGTAAATAATAGGGAGGAATAAAAGATCATGTCCCGATGAGTGGAACTGAAAAAAATGATAACATACAAAATCTTACCTTTAAATAAATGCAATATTGAGAACAAAATGTACTCTATGAAAGACAAAGTGCATGAGTCTACTGAGTTAATTATCTAAAGTTGACAAAGTCCTAATAACAACACAATCATTCTGGGGAAAAAATGCTGTATCTTTCTTTCAGAATAACAAGCACAAAATGAATTCATGATCTTGACTATGGCAGTTCTGAACTATCGTAAATAATGAAAATACATAAAAACAAAGTTACAAATTACTGCTGGTTTTCTTCTTTTATTCTCAAAAGAAAAATCGAACAATAGATAAATGGAATAGAGAGAAGAAGAAAAATGTAAAAAGCAAGCAATAAAATCTTCTTTGTTTCAATGACAGAACTAATGTCTTGCAAAAACATGTAACCATAAAAACCCCAGGATGTCAGATGTCTTCTATAAATCACAGCAGTGAAAAAAGGAAAGCAGCTGAACCAGAACATAAAGTAATCTGACTCGAGGCGATGAAAATGGAATCAGCGCTGCAGTGTGTGTGTGTGTGTGTGTGTGTGTGTGTGTGTGTGTGTGTGTGTGTGTGTGTGTGTGTGTGTGTGTGTGTGTGTGTGTGTGTGTGCGCGCGCGGGGCGGCGGCTGCGTGGGCTGCTGCCACGCCTCAGAAACGGCACTGACTTGAACAGACTGATTTTACCTCTGAACCTTTTGTGTGTTTTCAGATCCAGGAAGCCATCCTGGTCAAAGGCACTGTCCTCCTGAGCATCGACAACGCCCAACTGGCTCAGGACGACTTCAGGGTCAAGTCAGTACCTCATTATTTATCTGTACTTATATTTACTTATCCTTATGTATCATCATTTAAATGTAATTATCTGTGTCTAACTTTATTAACATTTCTTTTTTATTTACCTTTGTACCTCTCCTGCAACTTATGAAACACGAAAAGCACAAATATCAGTGACAAAAAATCAATAGCAATTTAAATAACACTGAAAGTGTTTTCCTGTTAAATTAAATATTAAAAAGCAGGATTTTATTATCTGCATTGCGCTCCCTCTGCTGGCAGCTGTGAAGAACGCTGCAGCTGGACTAAATATCACAATATAAAAAGTCTATTTTTTAATAAATGTTTCTATAACCGCTTAAAAAGTTGTTTTACTGTATTTTATTATTTTAATTATTAAAAATACTATTGTTATTATCACTATTTTTCTTATTATTATTATTTCAGTTTTGTTATTATTATAATTACTATAACCATAGTTTTGTAACTTTTTTTATTATTATTATCAATATAAAACTATTATCTATTTTATTTATTTATTATTTAAAGGGAACCTATCAAGCAAAATGCACTTTTTTATGTATTTTCTACATAAATATGTGTCCCCGGTGTGTCAGGGAACTCATGCAGCGTCAGAAAATAAAACCCTCTCTCTTTTCCTCCGTACCCAAATCTTTTAAAAACGGGTGTACAATGAGCGGATACAGATATGCGGCCGATATGACGTAAAATCGGAAATGTAGACCTGTGGAACTATCAGAAACATTGCTATCAGAAATAATTCCCGACTGTTTTGGACGTAATATGGTTGGTGTGTACATTAGCATCGCTAACACTCAGAGCTAACCTGTACTGGAGAGCATGTTGGAGCATGTGTATGAAGAAGCAGGAAATAAAAAGGAACTCACCTTGTGGTACAACCGGCAAGAGAGAAAGCCTTTGAGCTTCATACTATTTCAGAAATAATCCTTGATAATCCATGATATGGCCTCCCTTGATCTGAGACCTATGCTATTGCCTAAAAATAGCAAGATAGGTGACCTTTAATGTCTGTGAACTTCCATGTTTCTGCCCCTTGAAAACAAAATAGTGTATTTCTTGGGGTATATCACTTATAAGTTATGCATTTATTTATATAAAATAATAGTAAGTTGTGTATATATATATATAAATATGTATATAACAAAGCTTTAAATGATTTATTTTGCTCTCATGTGATGGTGCAGGTATGAGAACGAGCTGGCCATGCGTCAGTCTGTGGAGGCGGACATCGCCGGGCTGAAGATGGTGAAGGTTGAACTCGGCAGCGCCATGACGGACCTGAGCATGCAACTGGACGCTCTGAAAGAAGAGCTGGTGTCCATGAAGAGTAACCATGAGGAGGTACTATTAGTGTGCTAACATATAATCTGTAGTTGCCAGCACTGTGAACCAGGAAATGTTGAGTACCCCAAAGTTTATCTTAGAAATGTATTGTACCCCCAGTAATTACAAACTGCCGGATGCTAACTCACGTAATTGGCCAATTTGCACAATTAGCATCAGTTGCGTTAAATAGCATTATAGCCTATAATGCTTTTAAACAACAGTTAAAAAATGGCATGGCTAATTTGGACAATTTTGGAGTGGTTTTGGAGGTTATGAGGTTGCTGAATGCCTTTCTGACATTTTCATGATCAACAATGGCGGTTTTTACCGGTATAACCTGTATAAATATGGCCACTCTGAAGGTTCAAACTTCCATTTTACACCATGAAAACATTTCATGGTGTTTCATGTCCACATTCATTTGAATTAACGCAATGAAATGCTAATTGTGCAAAATTGCCCAACATATGTGAGTGAGCATCCGGCAAATTCTATGTGCTGGGGACCTGTACTATACATTTCTAACATAAAACGTTGTGTTACTCAATATTTCCGGGTTCACTATAGGATTCTATGAGCTGACAGCTACACTATATACTTTAACGCCAAAAAACGAAATCCTGGTTTAACATCAGACGGCACCATGTTACAAGTCCAGATTTAAGATAATAAGTTAAAATGCTTTCAGGAAAAATCCCTGTAGAAACAGACAGACTATAAATCATTTTGTATTTGTATTAAGCAGGGTTCTGATTCAGATAAAGTACATTTCAATCGTTTGTCAAGTGAGTACTTCCTGTTTGAGTACTTCCTGCCAGTTTAATTGTGTTTCCTCCCCGTGCTGGGAGTTTACTGTATTGTTAAAAACCTGATGATATCATTTAGTTATTTATTACAAGAGGATTCTATGAGCTGGCAAATCGATGAATACTAAATATTAATCTTGCAATATTCATAGATAGATATCTGGATAGATAGATCAATTGATCTGAGTGTTTTTACTTTTTAAGGCAAAAGCCTACAACACAAAATGATTTAGTCTCCAGCAGAACTATATCTTTGTGGAGACTCATTTTAGAAAATAATGATGAAGTTGACCTTTTCTCAAATGCTCAGCAATGTCTGATGTGAGTGTGTATGTACCCCCACTCCCCCTCCCGCAAGGACCTGATGGCGATGCGTGGCCATATGAGTGGCCAGGTGAACGTGGAGGTGGACGCCGGTCCGCAGGAGGATCTGAACAAAGGGCTGGAAGAGATGCGGGAACAGTACGAGGCCATCAACGCCAAAACCAAGCGTGATCTGGAGAGCTGGTACGCCACCAAGGTAAAAACCCTGGTAGAGAAATGCGAGAACATTTTATTTGGATGGTTTGTGCTGACTTCCTGTGCTCCTCGCAGTCGGAGGCTATCGCCAAGGAGGAGGAGACCACAATCATGAGCATACAGACCACCAGCACAGAGGTGAAAGAGACCAAGAGTTTGCTACAGGCTCTGGAGATCGAGCTGCAGTCTCAGATGAGCATGGTGATTATTATTATATTTCTTTTTTTTTATTATTATTATAATAATTAGTAATATTATTATTCTTTTATGATTATCATTTTTTTCATTATTATTTGTATTATTATTATTATTATTAATATAATTATGTTTACGATTATGATTATTATTATTATTATTGTTTTATAATAATAATAATAATTATTATTATTAGTTATTTATTTATTCATATTATTTGTATATAACTTTTTATCTATTTGTTATTATTTCATACAGTCAATATTATTATAACAACTATTACAAAATCTATAATTAGTTACATTACATTTCGTTTTTTAAATGTATTTGCTGTTTAATAATCTATGGTTATTATTATATATATTTTTTTATTATTAATATTATTATTATTATTTTATGTAGTTTATGGTCTTTCTAATTACTAGGATTATTATTCATTAAGATGATGATGATTTTATTTACAATATGTTTTATTATTATTATTTCTATGATTATTATTATATAATATAATTTTTCCTTTGTATTATTATTATTATTATTANCCCCCCCCCAAACGCGGCGCACCTACAGTGTAAGCGGCCACAGTGTAAGCGGCCACAGTTGCGCAGCTGCGAGGCTCCACTTGCACCCCGCCCTCCCCAGCGTGTCACAGTTTCGCCACTGAGAGAGTGTGTGTGTGCAAGGAGCTCCACGGATTGGGTCCATTTGGGTATGGGCACGTCACTGTACCCAGGAAGAAAAATAGAAATCTCCAACTAGGCGTTCTGGGGCAGCATAGACAGGTCTTTTCTGTGTTAGAGTTCTACTCGATACAGGGTGTACTTTCAGGGTTTGTGACTCTGCAGACCGTTTACATGCATAAAAACAAGCTACATAACACACAAGGGGATGGGTAATAACCGGAAAAGCTTGACTTGGGACCTTTAACATTAACATTTTCCTTTTAAAAACGCACAGAAATTGAGAATATGACTACTTTACTACATCAGTCTAATTGCATGTGAGTACAATCTTTAGCAGCAAAACACATGTTTTAATTCTTCACATAGCAGATTAGCCTATGCAGGCTGCACAAGGAAGGGAGGTTACATTGACTGACAGGCTGACTGACATAAATGGTTCAGGATTAACAGTTTTGAACAACTGTATTCCAGCTCAGTAGTTCAGTTTGCACCGTAGCAGCTTTTTGTCACCTCCTCTTTACATCATACGCCCCTCTGCTGGCTGCAGCAGGCCAGGGGCTTTTCCCTTCATCCCTGTCACAGAACATTCTCACAGAAGAACACAAAAGGTCATCCGACACAAACTTCCCCCTTGTGTTTAATCCCATTTTTATTCATCAGATTATGGGAATGTACAGTAAATGAAGCAGTCTGAGGTTTGATGCGGAATGAGATTTTGTGGACCCCCTCCCTGAATAACAGGTGATCGAGCCCATGGCCTGTGAGGGGTTGAGGACCATCTGCATCGCATACCGTGACCTGCCGGGGAATCCAGAGCCAGACTGGGAGAACGAAGCTGAAATAGTGACGGAGCTGACCTGCATCACTGTGGTGGGGATAGAGGACCCTGTGCGGCCTGAGGTAGGACCAGTGCAGTCTGGGTGAGACTAGTTCCACTCTGAGACAGTACTGTCTTTATGTGCAGTCCATACTGTGTGAATAATTATAGTTCTGACTCAATAACTTATTTTGTTGGGGGATGAATTGCCCCTGAAAGAAAATTAATGTAGTTGTTGTCATTCTAAGACAATTTTATGCATCATAATAAGGAACGAACACCGTCATATTTTTTATTTTAGTAGTAATTGGCTCTATTATAGTGTATTACAACTTATCTTTAGATTTTATATTGTGTTCTCTATATAATATACTTTAATATATCAAGTGTTTTTTAATCTAATTTAATATTCAGATATTAAAATATCAGAAAGAAATAATATAAAAGCACACAACCAAAATAAAACAAAACATATGTCTGCATCATGTTGGCTCAAATGTTCAAACACTTATATCGATCTATTTCATTTTATAATCTAGATGAATTTTAATTGTAACTGTCTCTCTAAGGTACCAGAGGCCATCCGTAAGTGTCAGCGCGCGGGCATCACGGTGCGGATGGTGACTGGAGACAACATTAGCACAGCCAGGGCCATTGCTGTTAAATGTGGCATCATCCAACCCGGGGACGACTTCATCTGTATAGACGGCAAAGAATTCAACCGACGAATCAGGAACGAGAAAGGAGAGGTGAGCTGGGGTTGAGTAAACTTACATAAAAGTGGTTCCTTTAGTGTAAGGGTTAGGGTTAGGGTTAGTGTTCACATGAAGTATTCTGTCTCTGTACTTCATTAGAATGAACTAGACTGGATATTCACAAAATATCTGTTTGTTACCAGCCTTTAATCTTAGTCAGATTCATGTGTACACGTAATTATATTTTTTGCACACTGACAATGCCGATATATTTAACTTCCTTTTCTTTTTTATCACTACACAAGCATCGATCGGTCTGCACACTACGCTCTAGTTTACATGAGATCATATGTTAAGGCTGCAACTCTTCTTTTTTATCATCGATTAATCTGCTTATTATTTCATCTTTAATCATTTGTATGTTGATAGTTTTGTCTCTTGATCTTCCGGGCTGCAGTGTGCCTCATCATCATGCCCACGACAGTGACTCTATCAGTGCCTGCACATTAAACACAAAGTCTATCTCTTTGCTACATTAACATCTGTTGGACTATTTCCTCTGTGAAATACACATATTCACAGCTCATGCAGGAACTTTTATACATTCCCATGTCAACAAATTGCATATTCCTGTAAAAAGATCTTGTATTTTCTTTGATTGGCTATAGGGACACATCAAAATCAGTGCAGCCACTTCCGCTTATGATCTGATAACGCCTCTGTATGTCATGCAGGTATTATATTGTGAAAGGATTTCTACTCAGAGAACATACAGTAGGTGATGTGAAATCTCCTTCCCTTGGTTTCCTGCTTATGTAGTGGTGGAAGGCAATGAGAGCTCGGCTACAATATCAGTAAAAGGATGTTAGAGACCTATAATCATTTATTTCTTCTGACAATCTGCTCCTCCAGTCTAGTTGGTTGCAGTAATGCACCAAATATTTGGTTGCCATCTGTCAGAACTCCTCAAAAAAATGTCTGCCATTCTGAACTTTGACTTTGTTTAAAAGGGAATACTCATTTAAAGGAGTTTGACTTGATTGAGACAATTACCTTTTCATGGCCACCTTTGCACTCAAGATGCCTAGACTCTAGAGTTGCTATTGAAAATGTGTAGAAACATGCACTCATGTGCTGCCAAAAAAGCAGCAGCACATCCCCAGCTGGCACTGCAGCGGCTAGAACCCATTCCTGATACTTTATTCTCCATCCAAGATCCAAAAGTGACATCTATGGAAAGAAGAGAACAGCTAATAGGTTCCTTATGATGTAATTAATCATCACACTCTTTCCCCCCTTTTTTCTCTCCATCTGACAGATCGAACAGGAACGCATTGACAAAGTGTGGCCCAAACTTCGCGTGTTGGCTCGATCCTCGCCAACGGACAAACACACTCTGGTCAAAGGTGAGCTTCAGCTTTATGAACATATGCACGCCCACATTCATTCACACACACTTGGAGCCCGTCTTACCCCCTTTTTGTGTCCAGGCATCATCGACAGCACAGTGTTAGAGCAGAGGCAGGTTGTCGCAGTAACAGGAGATGGAACCAATGACGGACCAGCTCTGAAGAAGGCTGATGTTGGCTTTGCCATGGTAACCTGAAAGAGTATTCACCAATAATGTTTATTTATTGTTCATAAATAAACAATACAATATTGCTACAATAATGCAATCACACACTTACTGTATATAAATGCATTTTGGAGAACAAATTATCCTAACCTACACACTTATCTCTTATACCTTTAAATATATTAATGACTTAAAGACTGTTTTGAAGCGAGGTTGTTTTACATTATTCTCTATAGGTGTGTTACTAGAGTACACGCCTGTTTACACCCCCATTTTTGAAAAATCTGCTAAGCAATTTACTGCTCAGAAAAATATATTTTAGCCACCTTAATAAGTGGCTTCAGTTGAAGTACTGTATAATGTATACATTTCGTCAATGCACCTTGCTGTCAGACATCTTGTTGACGAACAGAGGACCTAAACAAATTAACCCAGCCAAACTGATTTGTATTGGGGTCTACAATCTGTTTTGCAGCTGCCCAATCCACAGCAGTACGTAACTTACCCTCGACTGGTATTGCTGTGTGTTTCTCCAAACTGGGGGTGTGCTGACCCCCATCTATTGTAGGTTATACACTGGATAAATACCTCAACACTTAAAACAACCTAACTATGCTTGCCCTAACTTAAGGTAACTAAGATGGTCAAGGATTTATGACTCGATTTGTACCCTACGATCTATATACATATTAAATACATACCTAATATATATTGTATTTTATTTGGAATAAAAAAGGTTTTAATAGTGTGGTTTAATAGTGGTTATATCTCTCACAGGCTCCGCCCTCTACTGGACTCTATGGGTACTCCCCTGTATCCTGTTCATGCATGCATTCCTTCACTGAGACTTCCCTATACGTAGCCGGCCCCCTGGGCGGGCCTACTTGAATGCGCGCGCATCCACCGCATAAGAGGCGGCCTCGCCCCCTCACTGCTATCCCTTTCTCTTTTAGCTAAGCAGCTATCGAGTAACTGAGTGAGAGACAACGGATAGAAAGAGCAAGAAAAAGTTTTCTTTGGACAAAGAATCGAATATGGACTCACCTGAGGAGCGCCCGTGTCCTTCGTGTCCGGGTTCTATCGGGAGTGACGATCCAGATACTCGGTGTATGGAGTGTCTGGGGTCTGACCACGCAGCGGCTAACCTGCCTCCATCAGCAGTCTGCAGCACCTGTCAGCTATTGACCCGATCCAGCAGAGTGGCGGTGTTCCAGAGGTTTTACGTCCCGCCGGTGGAAGACCCAGAGCTCGACGTGGTGGAGATGGAGGACCTCGTGCAGGGAGTGCCCTTCGTCTTCGCCATCCCAGCAGCCCGGACGGGTCCGGGCATCGGAGAGGAGGATGACGATGATGACACTTCGTCGTCTGTGATTTCCGCTGACCACCAGGAAGGCCATCAGCAGAGGTCGGCTCGTCAGGACTTCTCGGCGGTAATGGCTATGGCGGCGGAGCGTACAGGCTTGCCGCTTCCCCCACCAATACCTCCGAGGCCGGTGAGCCGCCTGCGTCAGGGCTTCTACGGCACGGGTCGTCCAGCACCGCCGGCCTTTGTTTCACCCCCCCTGCCAGACATCTGGCGGTGCGTGGAGGCCACGTGGCGGCAGCCACTGAAAATGAAGACTACGGTGGCTACTTGGGCAGGAATCCACAGGGTGGAGGACCACTCAGACAATGAGTGTCCCGGTGTGCCCCCGCTTCCGCAGACAGCAGGGTGGGCAGAGGGGAGAAGGCCCCTGCCGCGGGGTGCAGATGGCGGCGGCGGACAAGCGGGGGGGGCCTTCCCCACGGGAGTCCGTGCACACTCTACACGAGCCATGGCTGTATCAACAGCCTTATTTAGTGGCATAAGTGTGGAGGACATATGAACGGCGGCATCTTGGTCAACACCAGGCCCCTTCATTAAGTTTATCTCTTGAACATGTCTGGCTCCTTGCTGTGGGTCAGTGGGCATCTGGCCCCCTCCCCGGACGTAATGTGCTTACGTTTTACCGAGCCCCCAGCCCGGGGGGACGTAACGCGCACATGGGCCCATAGGGGCTGGAGGTTTTCTTTTCCCCCTGCATTAAGACAGGGGGGAGGAAATCCCTACGTTATGGCACACCTCCGCGGGGTAAGCGCGTCAGGGTGTGCCCGGCCAGCCGCAGCCTCTTTCTCTCTCCTTGGCTACGGCCGAGGGAGAGGTGAGAGAGGCGCAGCGGCTACTAAACAGAAAGCCGGTCCGAAACAGGGGGACAGCAGAGCGGGTATACATCAGCCTGTGAGAGATATAACGTAGGGTTATGTATGGTAACCCATGTTATATAAGCACAGTGGAGCCCTGCTGCCCTATGCTACTGAGCTGAAGAGAAAGTAAAGGGATAGCAGTGAGCGGGCGAGGCCGCCTCTTATGTGGTGGATGCGCGCACATTCAGGTGGGCCCGCCCAGGGGGCCGGGTACGTATAGGGAAGTCTCAGTGAAGGAATGTGTGCATGAATAGGATACAGGGGAGTACCCATAGAGTCCAGTAGAGGGCTCCACTGTGGTTATATAACATGGGTTACCATACGTAACCCTACGTTATGGTCACGGACCTTTCTCACTTGCAATTGGAGTCAGGGCAACAAGATATTCACACAGTAGCACTCCAACATCTTTTGAGTGTTTGCGTGAATCATGTGACGAGTGTCCGTCTGCTCCTCACTGTCTCATTGTGTGTCAGGGTATTGCGGGGACGGATGTGGCTAAAGAAGCGTCTGACATCATCCTGACTGATGACAACTTCAGCAGCATTGTGAAGGCGGTGATGTGGGGCCGAAATGTCTACGACAGCATCTCCAAATTCCTGCAGTTCCAGCTCACAGTCAACGTAGTGGCTGTCATCGTGGCCTTCACCGGGGCTTGCATCACTCAGGTGACACATTTATTAATAGACATACATACTGACACACGTGCATTCATACTCAGTCACAGAGACGTCACTTCTGTGAACATCACTCACCCTCTATCTGCTACAAAGCAAAAAGCTACAATCCTCTTAATGCATTTTTCACACTAAGCTTATTTAAGCATGTTTAGGGCTGAAGAGACTGTGTCTGTAGGGGCTTGGCATGGAAACCAGATGGTCCCTGGTTCAAGTCCCAGAAGGGAACAAGTATGGAGAGTGGACAGGTGCCAGTTTGTTTCCTGTTACTAAAAGTAAAATTACTTATAACTGAGCCCCATTTTCAGAATCATATATATTTGATTACTTGATTGTGAAGAAGTATTAAGATCCTTTATTACATGGCTTAGTTGAATACTCGATTCTGATTGGTCAATTCAGAACACATGACAGGTTGTTAATCCAGAACAGACAGACCGCTGTCAAGGACTTATTGACCGTTGTTAAGAACGCTCACATCTGCACAAAGAAGTCAGTTCAATTGAACTGTATTTCTAACTGACAAGACAAGAGCAACAAGAAAACAGCGGAGAAGTAACGGGCAGACACCCTCCTTTTTACGCAGCGGTCCAGACATACGACACGACGGCGACACATATTCAGTTGCCAGTTACTTTGGCATTAGGGCAGGGATATCTAGATACTTTCCAAGGTTTGACATAATAAATTGTGCTACTTTTAAAGCAAGCAACAATGTTTTCAAATCTGTAATCAAAAAGCTCCTCAAAAACGCTATCGAAGCAGTTCCTGCCGTTACTACGTTAGTTCAAACAGTAACAACGGACTATTTTTCTTAGCGGATGCATGTTAATTTAAATCAATACAACTATTTTTAAATCAATAAAATCATTTTCTAAATCCATAAAAGCATTTTAATTAATATTGGGAGTCATATCGTTACTTTATATCGTTACCTTCATGCCGATCTAGATCCCTCCGCTTCGCGTCGGGCTCCTCATCGGCCTGTTGGTGTTCTTTTCCCCATAATGACCGCGTCGCTTATAAAATCAAATTTTTATTAAATTAAATATTATATTAAATTATTAAAGCAAGCAACGATGTTTTCAAATCTGTAATAAAAAAGGTCCGCAAAAACGCTATCGAAGCAGTTCCTGCCGTTGCTACGTAGTTCAAACAGTAACAACGGACTATTTTTCTTAGTATGTCATTTTAAATCAATAATAGCCTACTATTTTTTTAAATCAATAAAAACATGTTCTAAATCTATAAAAGCATTTCAATTAATATTGGGAGTCATGTCTTTACTTTGTTGAGAATGCGGCCATGTAATAAGCGGGATAATGTGCAGCGACTTGGTCATTATGGGGAAAAGATGTGGTGTTCTTTTACCCATAATGACCACCTCGCTGCATATTATCCCTTACTTGCTTAAGTAAAAGTAGCAATACATGAATGTATAAATACTCCATTACAAGTACATTTCCAACATTCCTAAGTAAAGGTACAGAAGTATTATCTAGAGTATAACATATAAAAGTACAAATGCAGAAACATATGTGATTTATTATTAAATATGACATTATTTTTCATATTGTAGCATCAGGCAATATTTTACTGTCTCAGACAAACACAATTGATTATAGGAACTTTTTATTATATAAATTGTATAATTGTGTTTTTCCCCCTTAAACAGTCAATGCATTGGTTTAATCTGAAAGTGCATCACATATTTTGTAATGCAACATCTTAATCTGAAAAGTCACTAAATCTTGATAAATAATAAATTAATTAATAAATGTAGTGGACTAAGAGTATAGAGTAGCATATTGTGAAAATACTCAAGTAAAGTACAAGTTCCTCAAATGTTTACTTAAGTACAGTACTTGAGTAAATGTACTTTCTTTCCGCCACTGGTTGTCGCATCAGTAAGACACATTAAATGTTCGGTTGTCTATAAATCGCACAGACATCTTTTACTCAACATCTTTTGAAAAGGCATATCTGACACCGGTTTCTATTTGGGTTAAGATTTTATATTAAAATCATAGTGAAAATGTACTTATAAAATACAATGCATTGATTTAAAAAGTGGTTCCCAACCTGTTGGCTTGTGACCTCTTACAAAATACTGTTCCCTTTGTCACACTTTCTATGAGCTGTAAACTGTTCTAAAGGAATCAGGGTCTTCCCACAAACCCCAGTGTGTGTGTGTGTGTGTGTGTGTGTGGGTATTGCTTGGTGACACAGATGTTTTGTTACACTCTCTGCAGGACTCTCCTCTGAAGGCGGTGCAGATGCTGTGGGTGAATCTCATCATGGACACCTTTGCTTCTCTGGCTCTGGCCACTGAGCCCCCCACTGAGGACCTGTTGCTACGGAAACCCTACGGTCGGAACAACCCACTCATCTCACTGACCATGATGAAAAACATCCTGGGCCATGGAGTGTACCAGCTGATCATCATCTTCACCCTACTGTTCATAGGTACACACACACACACACCCACACACACACCCACACACACACACACACACACACACACACACACACACACACACACACACACACACACACACACACAGGATGGAATAGAATATCATCTACTATTAAAACAGCCAGAAATAACCAGCTCTATCATTAGATGATGTCAAATATATATAAAAAATTAAAAACAATAATTATTGATTTAAAATTAGTATGAAATATGAAACTGTATTGTAATCTGGGCATGGACATGTATTTATATAAATACACACATGGAAACCTACCGTCTAAGTTTGCAGTTAAAATAACGTAGTATTTGGGTCCCTGACCAAAAGCGCTGAACTTGATGACCAACAGGAGGGCTATGCTTTCTGCCCTCCCACCTCCACTCATTTGGTTTGATTTCATTAATGGTCTGTATGAATATTGAATAAGTAGAATGCTAATAACCAAGAATCCAGGACAAGAAAAACAAAGCTTTGGTGTAGACACATATTCACACATTCACACGTCACATGTTATGTTACAGTGGCAATGGGTTATTTTTCCAGCAGCCTATCCAACACACTTCCTAGTGTACAACACAGCTGATAATTGTGTCTTTTTTCTCACTTCCTGCTTCCTCCACCAGGCGAGCACATTTTTAACATCGACAGTGGCCGCAACGCCCCGCTCCACTCCCCGCCCTCTGAGCACTACACCATCATCTTCAACACCTTCGTCCTCATGCAACTCTTCAACGAGATCAACGCTCGCAAGATCCACGGAGAGAGAAACGTCTTTGACGGCATATTTGCCAACCCCATCTTCTGCACCATCGTTTTTGGAACCTTTGCCGTGCAGGTAAGGGTTACCGCCCTTTAATGTTTCCATACTGTTTACTGGAGAATATTGTAAGAGGTTTGTTTATGAATTGATGTGATACAGTATGAGGCTGTGGGTTGTGATATGCTGTTGTAAAGTACAGAACTCCACCTGACTGAGCATCTCTAGCACTCAATTAAATCTGACCAGGCTTCTTCAGGTGATGACTTTAGTGTCGACAAAGGTATGGTGGCCAATTGGTTTGTGGTATTTCCAGGTAGTTTGGAGTGCACACCAATGAAAAACAAAACATTTTAAAGAAACATGTTCTACCATCTATCAGTTCAGTACATTTATGTTGAAATGGCAATATTGTTTATTGCACTGCCTGTATGATAAATGGTATTCTACTGCATATTGTATACATGTGGCCACGTTATTAGTTACATTTGAACATTTATTGCAATCTAATACAACAGCTTGCTCTTAGTTTCTATCCTTACAACTTTATAGAATTGTTTTAATTAGCACTATGAGAAAAGATATTCAGTTTGCAGCTTATTCTCAAATAGTGTCAATGTCCTTTTCGAAGCAGACCTATACTAGACAAATGCCTGGATTTCTAATTTCCTCTGTTTGATACAGTAGGAATATCAGGTAGGCATAAGTATGAAGCTTGCTTTTTTTCTGATCTGCTCCCATTTCCCCATTTAAAGCGTTGTTACTGCATCACATTGTTATTCTCAACTCAATAGAGAACCGCAGTGACGCGTCATAAAACCCGGAAGTAAACTTCTTCCGGTTCCTTTTTCAAAAACCAATGCAAATTCTCCATAGGATTTTGGAAAATAGCTCGAAATAAGGTCTGTGGTTGACACACATTTAAGAGAGGGATCACGTTTTGTTCAGCCGGATAATCTCCACATGTCAACCCTACTTTTATAATTTTTGAATCATAAATCTAGTCGCCAGAAGCAAAATGCTAACGTTATGCTATAAACGAACTACAAGCCAGTACAGCAGTAGGGTCGCACAACTTCAACGTCACGCCAACTTAAGATCGTTTCAGTTGATTTGCACTGAAACTTCACTTTGAACACTTTAAATATATTAACATTTTAAACTGTATACCCCGGTTATCTAGGCCCTTTTTGTTTTGTTTAATGTATACCACGTTTATCTAGGCCCTTTTTGGTTTTGTTTTATGTATACATGTCACACTGTGGGAAACGATATTTCGATATTTCTGGATGTATAACACAATTTTTGACAATAAAGCTGAATTTGACTTTCGCGTGCTTGCATATTTTAACAAAGCTTTTCATTTTAGCCACACTGAATTTAACTAGAAGTCATGGCTGTGTCAATTACCAGTCTGATATCGTTTTACAAAGATGACAAGAAGAGTGTAGACAGAGGAGAGAACCACTACAAGTCAGGACACGTAACAGTGCAGCCTAGATGAAGGTGTGCTTACCGGTGTTGTCAGGGCTAGCATGAGGGACAAGGTTTATAGTGTCGGTGAGTAGTGATAGCAAGAGTACCGTTAACCTAGAGTTAATTTTTTCACATTAATTCCCATCAACAAATCAATTGTATGTGTCACATGAAATCTTTATTAGGCAAGGCAAGTTTATTTAAATAGCACTTTTCAACACAAGACATCAAAGTGCTTTACAAAAAATGAAAGACATTAAGAAAATGGCATTTAAAATCAGTCATTAAAAAGAAAAGCTAATAAAACATTAAAAGAAAAAATACATGGATAAAAGTTACAGTGCAGTCTAAGATATGAATAGTTCAATTAAAAGCAGCGACAAAAAGAAAAGTCTTCAGCCTGGATTTAAAAGTAGTAAGAGTTGCAGCGGACCTGCAGGTTTCTGGGAGTTTGTCCAGATATTTGGAGCATAATACTGACGCTGCTTCCATGCAATTTCTCCATAGGATTTTGAAAAAGAGCTCGAAATGAGGTCTGTGGTTGACACACATTTAAGAGAGGGATCACGTTTTGTTCAGCCGGATAATCTCACATGTCAACCCTCCTTTTATAATTTTTGAATCATAAATCTAGTCGCCAAAAGCAAAATGCTAACGTTATGCTATAAAAGAACTACAAGCCAGTACAGCAGCAGGGTCGCACGACTTCAACGTCACGCCGACTTAAGATCGCTTCAACTGACTTGCACTGAAACTGCACTTTGAACACTTTAAATATATTAACATTTTAAACTGTATACCCCGGTTATCTAGGCCCGTTTTGTTTAATGTATACCACGTTTATCTAGGCCCTTTTTGTTTGTTTATGTATACATGTCACACTGTGGGAAACGATATTTCAATATTTATGGATGTATAACACATGTCAAATTTTTGACAATAAAGCTGAATTTGAATTTCGCGTGCTTGCATATTTTAACAAAGCTTTTCATTTTAGCCACACTGAATTTAACTAGAAGTCATGGCTGTGTCAATTACCAGTCTGATATCGTTTTACAAAGATGACAAGAAGAGTGTAGATAGAGGAGAGNATCCCTGTTTTTGCAAGGGCTGATTCTGCTTTTTTGGCAGACTACAGCGCCTCCTACAGGCCTGGCATATGTACTACAGCGTCTCCAGTGCTTTCGAGCGGTCTCTCATTCGCTCGAAAGCACTGGAGACGCTGTAGTACATATGCCAGGCCTGTAGGAGGCGCTGTAGTCTGCCAAAAAAGCAGAATCAGCCCTTGCAAAAACAGGGATGGAATAGAGCAAATAGAGCGAAATGAGGCATGGCTAAAATGCATGATCTGTTTGGTACTTTGAAAAAAGAACTTCACAGACATGTTTAATATAGGTATGGCCCTACGATATATGTTTCAAATATAGCATGATAGGTCCACTTTAACTCTCTGAGGGGACTTTATATGTTCATTTTCTTTGTCAAAATTCCTAACCATAACCCAAAGCTATTGCACCAAATGTTGCATTAAACCTAATAGTATTTATTACCAATTTCGTGAAGCATGGTTGGGAAGTGTGTCCTAAAAACGTTTTTAAGAGTCACTTTAACAGTGGGATCAACAATCTGTGCAACTGCCATGGCCCTGTGTTTCTCTACAGCAGAGTGTGCCTGCTCAAGCTGGAGCCGATCACGTCACACCAAACTGGTCGACACAGCCTTGAATGACACCTGCCGCATCATCACGGGATGCGCTAAGACAACACGTGTCCCGTGCCTCTACGCGCTAGCCGGCATCTCTCCCCCGCACATCAGACGACTAGGTATCGCTCAAGATGAACGGAGAACACAGGAGACAGACATCAGACACCCCTTGCATGGCCACGTAGCACCCCCACGCAGGCTCCGATCCAGAGCCAGTTNATAATCACTGATGTTCAGCTGTAACAGTGGTGGACTCATCAGAACAGAGTGGGCGAGCTGACCAATCAGAGCACAGTGGGCTCACAGGGAGGGGGGGGCAGGAGCTCCAACAAGCCGTTTAGGACAGAGAGTGAATACACATACTAATGAAACCAATGTGAGTTTGGAAAATTGCACAATATAAATATATTCTAGTATACCTCAACAATGGAATTATGATCAGTAGAAATGGCCATGACATGGGACCTTTAATAAATATTTGGTTATTATTCTTACTCTTTTTCATGTCAAGAAATGACATGTCTGTATGCTAAATATGAAACTAGAGCCAGATTAGCTTAGTTTAGCACAAAGAGTGGACTCTGAGGTAAACAGCTGGCCTGGATCTGTTAAAGTAAAAAAATACAAACACTAACACATTTCAACTGGCAATAAAAGGGTTTTAAAAAAATAACATTGGTTAAATTGAAAAAACTTTAACAATGTGAGAATTTTCAAAGGGTCACTTAAAGTGATGAGTTTTGGTTTGTTCTCACCACTCTCAGTGTCTGTTTTTGGACACAGTGGACAGCTGTTTCCAGAAAGAGCTTTAAAACCCCACTGTATGCTCAGCAGCAAACAGACAGGGTTAACTGGAATGTAGTGAACATCACAGAGTATTAGGAAGCTAAAGGGCCAGATGTTTCCCTCAGGAGTTGGTGCAGACCAAAAGCAGAGCTAAAACAGAACAAATTAGCCTTAAAAGCTTGCAGTCTAATCTAAACATTCCCTAGATTTAACTTCATATCTAGTGTTTTGGGGGAATTTGCCTGCATTAGACAGTGAGAGTTGACAGGAAATAGGAGGAGATAGAAGGGTAAATGATATGTAGCAAAGGGGCCCGGCTGGGGACGTTGTAATGACAGGATCAGCATCTTAAACCCTATTTCACCAGGTCCAAATTAAAGATATTTTAAAGATACTATTCAGCACATTGGAGTGTTAATTCATCAAGTCTCACCTGTTTGACCATCTCATCTCTGTCACGTGGGCGGAAAGTGCGTGCTTCTCCATTGGTATCCAGGATGAAGGAACACCTAGAGGACAGAAACACTCGTGAGCAAAGCATCTTTGGTCTTTTACATTCTCTATTTAATTACACAATCTAATAATCAGTGTTCAACTTTCACATTTCCCCTTCACACCTCCTCCCACACTCACTTCTTCAGCAGGATCTCAGAGGCTCCTTTGCTGTAGATGCGGAAGGAGCCATCAGGCAGCTTGATCACTGTGCACATGGATTTACGCACTGAGTTGAACGTGTACACCTGAGAGGAAGACAGATGGACAGGTAAGATCCAGACTTGTCAGAGTAGAGATAGACAGAAAATGTATCATGTTTGTACTGTGCACTGTGATCTGCAAGCAAAGGGCGGCACACACGTGTTTGTCACTGTTTTGGTTAGATCCAATGTGGGTTTAGCAAAGACTTTTTATAACCAATGATGATCATTTTCTCCTCCAAGTAAGTCATGTTTTTATCTCTTTCTGTTTGTTAGCAGGATTGCGGAAAAGATAGTAACCTGATTTTCATAAAACTTTGGGTAAGGGTGAAGCATGGGCTAAGAAATGTTGTAGCAGATATAATCATAAGGCAGATACACAAATTAGGTTTTAGTTCTATTGGAAGAACCAATTGTGCTGCATTCATGTAGTATATTAAAAGTTTGTTCCCGACTAGGAAAACCCAAAGTAAAATCCCCTCGTGTGAGAACAGAAACTCTGAAACATATTAAGGTGTTGTTAAAATGAGCAATACATCACTACACATCTTCTCTGTAGTGACCATGTTGTTTGCACGACCTAAAGAACGACCCTGAGGACTTTTCAAGTCGCATGTGAATGTACAATAGTCCTTGATAGAGATGTGTGATGTCAGTGTGCTACTGCATTGGTATTGTATTGGTTGTGGAGCATGCAGTCACTCAGTTCATGGAGCTACACATGCATACTGGGGAGAGTAAAGACGTTTTTCTCGACAATTGTACTTAAGAAACGGTATTTAAAGGGGACCTATCATGCAAAATGCACTTTTTGATGTCTTTTATACATAAAGATGTGTCCCCGGTGTGTCGGGGAACTCACGCAGCGTCAGAAAGTAAAATCCTCTCTCTTTTCCTCCGTACCCAAATCTCTGAAAACGGGGGTACAACGGAGCTGATCCAGATTTGCGTCCGATATGACGTAATATCTGAAATGTGGGCTGG